GGACAGCTCATCGTGGGGGTGTGTAATGATCCTATGGTTTTTTTATGTTTTTTTTTTTTTTTGTTTTTTTTTTTTGGATCGTCACAAATTGATGATCGCATCTGTAACAACGAACATGTAACACCTGTCATTGGTATTGATGATGTGATCAGCCGCCTCATCAGCATTCATGATTGTCGCTTCTTGTGTTCATTGGTATTGATGACGTCCACACGTCATTATCGCTTCTTATGTTCATTGGTATTCATGATGTCTACACGTTGTTGTCATTTTTTTGTGTCGTTCGTTATTGATGATATCCACAGCTTCTTGTCAACTCCTTTCTGTTTCGTTTTCATTTGCATTCACGATTGTCAGGGAAATACTGACATGGAAAGTGGTGACGGATGTATGATTCAACCGATGCTTTATCACAGATTGATGGATTTTCATACAAGCCATTCCAAATGCGAGCACAGATGAAGGCAATAAAACTGACACACACACAACGTCTTCCAAACAATGTACTTGTCATTCGTCAGGAACATGGAAAACATCCAGGATTTTAAAAAAAGATTACAAGATATGTTGTCTGAATGTTGTCTCTCCCGGCAACAGCACAAGACGTAACAATTAGGATGAAACAGGCCTTGAAGGCAACTTCGATCCCAACCAGCCGAAAAAAGAACACACACCCTCGGAAATGGACTCTGTCACTCACACCCGCCACTCACGGTGGCACCACACTACAAATCATCGCAAAGACAAACAACTACACGCGCGTCACGAAACCCCCGCCGACGACGCGATGGACTGTGCCATCGCCATAAACCCCACCCGGCGACAACCTCCTAAGTGCGGCGCAATGCGAAAGTACACCAAACTAAAGTGCGCCAGACAAGACGCCGCATGCACACCGACGCCCACCGATACAGGCAGCGGTCGATTAACTCCCTGCTCCCACGAATATCTGAGCGACAAGGAGAACGATGGCAACACAGACCACCATCCGCACGCTTTCTCGTCGCACCAATGCCATCGCAGCCCGTCGCACCGAAGCCTGGATTGTCGTCGGTTCTACTCTCTCTCTCTCTTGCTGTCTGTCTATCTGTCTGTCTGTCTGTCAGTCTCTCTCTCTCTCTCTCTCTCTCTCTCTCTCTCTCTCTCTCTCTCTCTCTCTCTCTCTCTCTCTCTCTCTCTCTCT